TCTATCTCACACGGTTGATTCTTTTATAACTCGTGACAGAGCTGGACAGTATACGACATGCCAACTCTTTGGCATAGCCCGGAGTACAAAGAACGCCCCCACCTTCTCCCTAGCAGCATTAAATTGAAGCAGCATCGAAGTAGAAAACTCTTCAATGCAAACAATTTTCCAAACGAACCCTTTCATGCTATACACCATATCCTTGTATAATTTGATTAGGCGATCGATAGCTCCTTCACGGATTTCTAGCGAAGGTAGGTGAGGAAGAAAGTCATTGCCTACGAAGAAACAAAGGAAAACCTGGAAGTAATTGGGTGTCCTTTCCAGCACATCCGAATAAAGCCACACCTACCCAGTCATCAATAACCCGTTCAAAATCATATTTGAAGGGTAAATTTTCCATAGTAAGGTCTCTCTCCAAATACTCCCGTAAGACGGGAATCCTCAGAAAAATGAAATTCTTCTCTTTCGAGATGGGATCAGCATGCTCAGGTCCCTTCTCTTCGTTTTCCAGTCTGGAATTGGGGATGTTGTACTAAAATTGATTAACTATGGGCAGAAGTACCCTCGACATTGCTTCAGCTCATGTCCGTACTGTCCACAAAGTTCGCATGGGCGCTGCTGGTTGGGGATGAACTCCTCCCTGAAATAATCTGGTCAAATTTCAGAAATGAGAAACACTGCTTATGGACATCCAATCGCAGAATACCTCTGACCGTATAATGTTGAAATTGGCTTCATGGGTGGCTAACCCAAGCATGATAAGATCTGCATCAGCACCACACAGGCAATGCACTGTGTCAGGATTATGAGCAGGATTTGCACGTTGCCTACGAATGAAGTCCATGATTTTGTGCTCTCCTTCTCCTGGTGCGTTAGCATCGGACAGAATTACCTGATAAAGAAAATCAAAAACGGCCTTTTGACTCAATTTTCAGCCACACACCTCAATTTTGGCCCATGCTGGATCAGTGGTGATTCGTTCATGAATGTAGTAACGAAGTGCATCGGCTAGCCTGCAAGAATAGAATCAAATGCTACTAATATACATGATCGCTATGTTTTGAGTTATGATCCAATGAACAATATGCTCATATTACACTCCTGCGAGTATACGTGTTTCAAAGGCAGCGGCTCGGCAAAATTTCGTTTTCCAGTTTTTC